TATATACGTCCAGATTTAACCTGACGCCGTCATAGACATACAGTACTAGATAAACATAGGTCTAGAGTCGAGATAGATATCTCGGTATCTCCACGCCATAGTCACACTCACAGCAGCTAGGTCCAAAGTATCAATCATGACGAGACATATTCAATCATCATCATTCATGGCCTGGTCACACACACAGCACATTACACAGTTCTGATTCTGAACAAGCCCCAATAATCTAAATTTATCCTTAAGTAGGGTCTGGGTCTAATAATCGATTGAGATTGCTGAGTTTCCTCCAGTCCCGTCTGTGAGTGTCAGTCTGTAAGAAATAGACTTTATATTTTTACAATTACATATTTCTACGCAACGTGCCGAGCCAAAATATGCCACTCCTCCCTATTTTCGCCGCTCCTTCCCCCGCGCCTGGGGTTGAGAAGGGGTGGCTTCACATCGCACGCTGTTGCAGCGATATGCGATCCGGAAGACGATTTGCTACTGAAATTCCGCACAGGAATGACATACAAAGACAACATGAATACGGAACTACATGAGGAAATATAAGCTACTATTACTTTATTTACAATACACTTCATCTTAAAGATATAACCATACATTTAGATGTTAAAAGCAAATAAATACTCACTGTACGGGTTACTCAATGACCTCTTTCTCATAAAAACATAGAAGTTGCACTATTTGATCAAGGCCTGAGATGGCGCTCTTCAAATTACGCTACTCCACTACACGCTAAACACACAACAAACGGTGCATTCTTTATTTTGTTATGCTCCGGAGAAAGGGGAGGGGTGATTTCTAATCTCCGGCCCCGGGGGTGTTTCAAAGGGAGTGAACCTGCATGCATACGCGTACCCTTAATAACACTGAGTGGGGGTGGGGGGGGGGGGGGTGGGCGGATTAAAGCGGCGTTTTTCAACATTTTTTGTAGTCACAGCACCCTTTTAAGTAAAAAGTTTTTCGTCAAAATCGAAAATTCATCACAACGTATTAATTTTGCATTAGTGTGGCCCACGTTCCCGACACTCGTCACGTACCATGTAAAATGTACGAGCGGCATTGTTCTAAAAGTCTACAAGCAATTAGCAAAGCTAATGAGCTCAACCATGGACCTACAAAGAATGGCTAAACACGAATGACATTTCCCATACGGGTATAATTGTTATTTTGTATTATTCTAATCAAACGAAAAATGAATACGATTCAAAATTCCTCTCGCGGCGTCCTTATAGATAGTAGGGAATGAACACTAATTTTTTTTTTTTTTGCTCCCGGAAATTTTAGGGGGCCTGTCTCCCCAAAAAGGTAAAATTAACGTGTTTTTACACGTTTTTTTCCAGGGGGCCCGGGCCCCCCGGCCCCTCCCCCCCCCCCCATCACCCTGGATCCGTAGGGACACTGCATGGGTGGGGCAGGTTGACCATTAGTCAGACGGTGGTGGGGATAGAACCGGATGCGATGTGTAAATTATATGAGGTCATTGACAGTCGAATGTTGCAAGGATGAACGAGATTCAAAGACTGGGGGAAAGAAAGGATCCTGATAACTAGGCCTCCTCGATCTTTAGGAACACTCCGTATTTTCTCGTTACAGTCATAGTAAATATTCAACGGAATTAAAGTCATGGTCCTCAGTAAAAAAAAATATATTTGAAAAAATATTGATTTTAACATGCACTTAATTGGTCCAGAACATGACGTTGCAGCAGTAGCGTACGTATGAGTTTTTCAGGGGGGGGGGGGGTTTAACATTTTTAAATCGGGCCGAAAATTTCGCAACGACTCAGCCAGCCGCTGAATAAGCGGGGGCGGGGGGGGGGGGAAGGGGTAAGAGGACACACTTTTTGTTTTGGTACCCAAAAATCGCAACGACTCGGCCAGCCGTTTTTTAGGACAGCCATTGGCATATTTTTTTTTATCATTAACAAAAATTAAAAAATCCAAAGGGGGGGGGGGGGATTTCTTCCAAAATACACACATAACAAATACCAAAGGGGGGTTCAACCCCCAAAGCCCCCCCCCCCCCGCCCCTGCGTACGCGCCTGCGTTGCAGTAAGGTTAACCAGAAAAGAAAGAACAGGGATCTACTTGTTACAACCAAAAGTAACTATTCTCTTTGTTATGATGATTACAATTTGACTTTATCCGCATCCCTTGTTTAACGTAACGCTTTTCGTGGAGTAATACACAATGAAACAATTTATTAGGGATGAAATTTATATCTACATGTATATGAAAGTCTACTGTCAATTTCATTGATACATAGCATGTACTTATCAGCATGAGTACATATCAGCCGCATACGCGGGGGGGGGGGGATGTGGGGGTCGAACCCCCCCCCTCAATTTTTTTAAAATATAACATAAATAAATCAATAAAACAAACAGAAAAAATGTGCTAATAGGCTCTTACCACCCCCCCCCTCCCGCTTATTCAGCGGCTGGCTGAGTCGTTGCGAACATTTCGGCGCGATTTTCAAATTTTTTCACCCCCCCCCCCTTTGAAAAAACCCTGTGTACGCGCCTGGTACATATATATATATATATATATATATATATATATATATATATATATATAGTATATATACCAATGTCTTACAATAACTACGGTCTTGAGTTTCCCTTTGTATAGAAGCCAATTTCGGTTGATTTGCCTCCACACACACACACACACACACACACACACCCACACACACACACACACACACACACGCACGGTCTGAAGACTCTCCACCGCTCCTGAAAGAAGAAGAAGACACTGTGAATATGACGGACAAAGAAAGCGGACAAAATATACAGTTCCTCAGGTAGATAAAGGAACATCCCTTCACTGCTATTATGTAAAAAGGTGAACTTTTTACATAATAGCAGTGAAGGGATGTTCCTTTGTCTACCTGAGGAACTGTATATTTTGTCCGCTTTCTTTGTCAGTCATATTCATACTGAGAAGAAGAAGAAGAAAAAGAAGCTCCATACAAAAAGGAAGAAGAAAAACGCGGCAGTCCTAAAAGGTATCACGACGCTATTGCCACTCTTGCAGAAAAGTGCACACCGCCACCTATAATCCGTATCGTATGCGTCACTCAGAATATTGGTATGTTCAGTGGTTTGGGATTTGAAAAAAATGCTAGGCCCTATGATTTGCTGTGTTTGTTTGTTGATGGGGTTTGGGAGCTAGCAAGACATTTCACTGATAAAGCGATCATGTTCACAAACATGTGCATGTACAAATGTTTGCTTTAAAATATTATACTTTTTGTGAAGCAAAAACGCAAACAATAAAACAAACACTTAATTCGCTATACTTATTGCCTACTTTGTACTTGTTTTTACGCAAAAAGGGACCACATTTTGTGGAAAATGTTATAATTATCTGTCAAACCTTTGCATTGAGAAGTGAAGCTAGACCAACCAGGGCTCCCCCTTTATATATCTAAAATTAATATGGGCATCCAATTAAATCAAATCAAATCAAATCCCAATTGAGATTATAAGAAAGAGAAAGAGAAATTGACATAGAGAAGTGGAGGGCTATTCGCAAACAAATGATATACAAAATAAAGGTGTATTTAAATTAAAGAGCACAGGCATAAAATTAATGGCAGCGATTTAAAAAAAATTGTAGTGGAGAGGAGCGGGAGGCAAGTACTCTCCCCCTCCTCCCCCTCTCTCTATCTCTTTCTCCCTCCCCCCCCCCCTCTCTCTCTCTCTCTTTTCTTTCTCTCTGTCCACCACCCCCTTCCCCTTTTCTCTCCTTCTCTCTCTTTCTCTCTCCAGAAGGGCTATGAATCATTTTCGACTGTGGGAGAAGCCGAAGGTGTATAGGAGCAAAAATAACTCCTGGCTCCAAACGGAAAACTTGGTGATGGCGAAAATAGATAGGGGCTTATATAGGGCTAGACGTAAACAACAGCTGATCATTTAATTAGGAGCAGCCAAGACGCCGCAGTAAATATGGTGACACACCCTATACTTCGAAATACTTGGCGGGAATTTCTAATTTATTACTATCTGCGAGTTTGAAAGTTATTTTAGTTGTTATTGGATAAAATTAAGTTTTTGTCTGGTTGGCCAACTTTGAAACCTGGGCATCGTTTCACGAGTCGTTTAAGTTTATTAGTAAAACTAAACGTATGTACACGGAATGATTTTGTTTTGTATATGAAAAGAAAAGAATGATGGGGAAATGTAAAAGAAGATGAACTTGAACTGTGGATGTAGCACTCAGTTATTTTTTAAAAAGTTCCGTCGTGTATACGCCAAATGTCAAAATGTTTTGTTTTAAATCAAATCATCATGGTGTGAGGGAAGGCCTCCCGATATAGCAGCACTGTAGCTTATATTGGTTAATGTCAAATCTCTATAGTCTGTGGATCACTGATTGAGACAAGTTCCATGTAAAATTCTCACCATGATCACTTTGAAATGACGGTATGACGCCAATGTTTGTCGGCGGATTATTTTCTTCTGAACCCCCCCCCCCCCCCTCGTACGACGCCCTGTGTGGCAAGTGGGGGCAGCAGCCGTATCCACTTTGATCGTCATTCCTTAGATTTTCCATGAAGGCCCATGAATTATTACGTTTATTGTATTAACGATGCACCACCACCACCACCACCACCACCACCACCACCACCACCACCACCACCACCACGCACGGTCGGATATGCCCCTCTCTGTAGGAGCGTACCCCTTCTTTTACCCCCACACCGAGACTTTTGCTCTTCGTAAAGTGATGATTGAGAGTGTGCATCATTATCCTAATACTTCCTCATAAATTAAACAATCAAACATAAGATTCCATTAACTTTTCTTTGGTATAAAATCATAGAATATATGAAAAATAACAATACAGCCAAATTTCGGAGTGCCTCTAGCTAGAATCCAATGTCATGATATATCACTCCGTGGCCGTGTGAACTTCCGTATAGCTTTCTTGATACCGGAAGTGACAAACTTTGGCTTTACGGTAAAACTTTAGTTGCTGGATCTATCAATGCTGTGTAGCTCTCTGTACTAGTATACAGCGCGAGACGAGACCGTTGGAAAACTTTACCCCCGCGCCAGTTCCCCTGATCTTACCGAAGTTTAACACTCATAATCACCACATTAATATATTGATTTTCTGGTGAGTACTCTTTGAATGTTTTATGGTTGTGTATTTTTTAAAGAAATGTATACAATCCGCAGTTTTCTGTGCAGATTTTCTTTGTTTGTGGGTGTGTTGTTTTTTGCTCGATTCTGAGATCCGTGTCCGAGGCTGTACCGGCCTACGGGCGAGAACTACCGCAGAGATACAGCGGGGAGTGCTGTGCAACATTGCGTAGGTCTGCTACGTGTTGCTTCTATCAAATCATTGACAATGTCATGATTGTGAACTTCGAAGGCTGTAGTGTGAACAACCATTACTTCGGCCTCAAGTAGAGAGATTCGAGCCGTGTTTGTGGTTTTAGATAATTGAAAGACTGTATGAGACGGGATAAAATGCAGACAGTGACATGTACTTTTGTAATCAAAACTTTAAAAATTGTGACTCTTCATCTTGCTCTTGGATTTAATTTCATGCAGTGTCATGAACAAACATGGAAAATGAAGTCGAAGGTGAAATGTCAAACCTTGATAAGTAATCTGTTATTAAATTCAAGTCGTCAACTTTAATTTTTACAGATACCCGGTACATAACTTTCCCTGATGATTAAATGTTCATTTGACCAGAAATTACAATGGTTGTCATCTTCTTCTTCTTTGCTATAAGTACAGGCCACCGTCGGGTGTATTCTCATGCTGATGTATATGTATATACCTTTTAGTTTTATGGACTGCCAATTATAGAAAGAAAAGTCTTTGTTAGAGGAGTATAAGACATCTTTTTTGACGCTCGATCTCCTCCAAGCTCCAGTTCAGATATTCGACGAAGCCAGGCATAGTCTATTTTTAATATGATTGTTAAATGGGTACCCGGTAGGATGCGAAAGTTCATGTGGTTGGACGAGCAAGTGTGCGCTTGTAAAATGTAAAGCGCTTAGCACATCGTTGGATCGATGTATTGAGTGCTATATAAAAAACAGAATATCTTATTATTATTATTATTATTATTGTTTAGGTCTATGCCATGGATCTATCTCTAATTAGGGAGGCCAATGCCCGGGCGTAAGGCTTCTACGCCTACGATTTGTGCGCTCGTCGTCCAAGTCAGAAAATTACCAGAAGAAAAAAAATGGGGAAAAAAAAGAAAACAAATATCTATGGAATAAAATGTATAACAAATACACAATTACACACTCCACAACATACCTATAATCACGGATCTGTAACGGTCTTTCACCATTTGTTGACGATCTTGCAGATTTTGACGTTTTTAGATCCAATAATTATGTTAGCAGACGACCTTGGCGCGCACATATGAGAAACTAGAAGGGTCCTAGAGGGCGATGAGGTTAGCTCACTAAAATCCTTCTCAATGACTGAAGGTAGAGCCTAAAAATATGGAATCAATTTAATATCAAAGAACTTTTGATAGAGATTAACATATCAGTTGTGCACAAATGTCACTTTTAACAACTAGAAAATATAACGAAAAACGATTATATCTTTTTAATTGCAGATTTTTACAAACTGCACATACGAAGGTAGATAGAGTACGATGTTTTTGTCAATCTTGCGTTGGTTTGAGACCCATAGCTAGAGCCATCTCAAATTGGGGAGCAAAACTCTGAACAGATACGTCATTGTTCCAGCCCAAAATAGAAGTCTTGCGACATCATAATATGAATATGTATGAGGTCCGGTCTCATCGCGCGCAAAACAAATTTGACGTAGTCTCACACATAGTACCTTTTTCTCAGCACCAGACACCAGTGTCGTGCAGTAATGTATGAAAGTGTAAAAAAAGACATTTCAGTAAAAAAAAAAAGTCTACGTGAGCAGTCTATACTCCAATTGAGAAGTGTAATGAATGCCATGGTTTGAACGTGTGTGTTTTAGTGTATGATATCATCATATGGTTAGTGAGAGAGAGAGAGAGAGAGAGGGAGAGAAATATCTCCGTCAGTACACGTCTATCAATGCGTGCAGTCCTATTGACTATGTTTGATTCCGTATTGTGTTTGCTGCAAAGTTCTGTGCAAGTTGGATTTATCGATCGTTGATAGTGTCAAATTGATCTTCACTCATGAGGAAATAACTGGAATACAAACTAAGGTAGGCCTATTTATTTATTTCAATAATTTTCTTAATTTACAATGAGTGGCTTTCGAGCTTTCTCTCATTATGTTTTAAGTTTTGACCCTCCATGCCATGGCATGGCTAGCATGGCTCGATTGCGGCTTGCATGCAATTACCGTACCTGGACGGCCTGTAGTACTGTGTCGGTGTGTGCGACTAATTCAAGGCTAGCCGGTGATGATGAATGTACTTTCGCGCGAAGTTTTGAACTTGTTGTCCGGGCAATGACCATGATGACACGCCCATTCCCTCGGGCCTGTCTAATTCTCGACGTAATATTTGGGACCATGAAATTGATTGTTTCAAGGCTCTTACGGACGGCCAGCCGTAGAAGGAAGGGAGTTCTTAAAAGCTGGATATCTCCTATTTGATGGAACTTCTGGAGTCGGCAGATGGGTGAATTTTCTTAGTGAAGGTAAATGCTTTCTTTTAATCTTAGTTTTATTATAAACAAATTAGTAATTAAAAAGTTAGATTTGGGCATTGGCCTCCCTACTCTAATGAATTGTCATTAATTTCACATCTTAGAAGTTTAATTTCTGGGTAAATAAATGACAGAGTTTCAGTTATATTCAATGTAAAATGATGTAAGTGTGAAAGGGGCAACATGGTCACCGCACTTAGCCACTGTAGATGACAGTGCTGTTCCATACACTACATGTACATTGCAAAAGTGCAAGTGTGAAAGTGGCAACATTTCACCAAGCCACTCTAGGGCACAGTCAAATAAATGTCAGTGCTTTATGTACTAAGCAAGAGGTAACAACATTATCACTTAATAGTAGAACAGTTCACTGTAAGCCATGTGAGGGGACAGCAGTATTGTATTAAAACGCCATTTTCGTAATGAAATCAAATTTAATGCCCAAACCTTTGTTTAGTGCCTCTTAATGAATAGAAAGAGAAAGAAACAGGAAAACACAGAAATATATTAGGAAAATATATTTATACATTCGTAATTAAATTTAATGCACAAAACTTTGTCAAGTGCCTCTTCACAAATTATTTTATTTACATGTTATTAAATATATAATAATGTTATATATTCAATAGTATTGCAGTTGTCAGAATGCGAATTAAATATTACATTATTGTAATTGTATTGCACATGCACTGATCATATCATGACGTCCCTATGTGCTTACAAAGAGCTTTGAAAATTATTAACCTAACTTGAGCTCTGGAAGCCAATATCAGCGCACAGTGCATTTCAAGTAATAATCCTACCAGGTACAGAGGTACCCGTTTACCTCATGTCTAGCGAAAAGAAATTGGTGCTGTGGCGGGACTTGAACCGTGGAGTCGTGGACCTTGTGATCCACAGTCCGGTGACATATCCACTCGACCACGACACCTCTACAATTGCATACAAAATGTTGTTAGGTACTGTAGAACAAACCATAATGTTTGTCTTGCCTAGCAACAATAATGTATCCAATTTGCTTTCTGACTATTTAAATTATTTGTAACAGTTGAATTAAATAACTTGTAATGAGGCCCTTGACGAAGGTTTTTGCATTCAATTGAGTACAATACGAAAATTGCCTTTTCTAGAAAAGAATGATAGTATTGGGCCATTTTAGAGGACAGTGCAATACATGTATATTGTAAATATGCTCTAGTGTGAAAGGGGGGAAACGTCATCAAAGCGCAGTTAAGCTCTTTCAAGGGGACCGTATGCTGGCAACAATCACAAGTCTGTGAGGAGTAATTTGATAGGGAATTCTCTCAAGAGCCAACCTCGTGAGTGACCTCAAGTCTTTCATCTTGATCGTTGGCCTGTACCTGAATGTCTAATTGTGATATTTGGAAGTGTTGTGAGCTCTCAATAGAGGTTACACCCATAATAAATCATGAAAACATTTTTTTTTCACTTCCCCAAAAGGCCCATCGTCACTATCTCGAGATTGCCAAATATCCAGCTATTTGAATTATCCCGATCGCAAACTATCCAGCTATTTGCGTCTTCATTAGACCGAAGTAGCAAATTAGCTGGATAGTTGGTCGGGATAATATCCCAAGATATCTCGGTCTAGTTTGCAAAATATCCCACTATTTCCGAACTAGCGGGATAGTTTGCGACCGTCTTCATTAGACCGGAGTACGGAGTCAAATATCCCGATCCCATCATGCACAACGATTTCCGGTTCGCACATGCAATCTTTACCGCTCAGCGCGCTAGTACAACCACTGACCTCGAGTAAACACAGAAAACCGGAAATCGTTGTGCATGATGGGATCGGGATATTATCCCGACCAACTATCCAGCTAATTTGCTACTTCGGTCTAATGAAGACGCAAATTAGCTGGATAGTTTGCGATCGGGATAGTTCAAATAGCTGGATATTTGGCAATCTCGAGATAGTGCAGACACGCCTAAATAGATTTTGTGAAGTTAATTGTATTTTTATAGTACATCATTACATGTAATTGTATGTTATTAAATGTTATCTAAATAGATTTTGTGAAGTTAATTGTATTTTTAAAGTACATCATTACATGTAATTGTATGTTATTAAATGTAAGGTGTTAGGACAAAAATGTTTTGTCCATGAAATGAAAGGTGTACTGTTTATTTGAAAGGTTATTTGTAAGTGATGCACTCAATTAAATGAGTATTTTTCATGGACTTTTTGATTGCTTATTTCCATAATAGTTTCTATTAATGCTGACATTTATATTCTAACATATTTTTTTATCTCAGCCTACCTCAATTGAACGACCCCCACCCCCAACAAAAAAATAGATAAAAAACAGAATTGCCACCTTGAAAGTGAAGAACATATTATTTTAGAGAAAGAGTGAGGTAGTGTCTCGCAAGACGTACCGCACAACCATTACAGAATGTATGTTGTACTCGTTTAACCTTTTGTATTGTTAACCAAACTGCAGTATAATGTGCCT